GAGGAGCTGTGCGGGCGGAGCGCGGAGTGCAGCATCCACCTGGAGGTGATCGTGGACAGGCCGCTGCAGGTTTTCCACGTGGAGGTGGAGGTGAAGGACATTAATGACAACCCGCCGGTGTTCCCCGCGACACAAAAGAATCTGTTTATTTCCGAAACGAGGGCTCTTGACTCTCATTTCTCACTAGAGGGCGCCTCGGATGCAGACGTCGGAACCAACGCTCTGCTGACTTACAGACTGAGCCCCAATGAGTATTTCTCCTTGAAAGTACCAACCAACGATGAGCAGGTAAAACCACTCGAACTAGTATTAAAAAAACCTTTAGACAGAGAAGTAGCTTCGGAGGTTCTCTTGGTGCTCAAAGCAACTGATGGGGGCAAACCTGAGCTGACAGGCACGGTGGAGATACTTATCACAGTGCTAGATGTAAATGACAATGCCCCGGTGTTTGACAAAGCGGTCTATCGAGTGAAATTACTGGAAAATGCAAGAAACGGTACGCTAGTTATTAGACTTAACGCCTCGGATTTGGATGAGGGCCCAAACAGCCACATTCTTTATTTCTTTGAAACTGATACCTCCCCTAACATAGAAGCCTCTTTTCGCATAGATTCAGACAGTGGAGAAATAAAAGTAAATGGAAAAATAGATTTTGAGGAAACTAAATTATGGAAGATTCAAATAAAGGCCATTGACAAAGGCAATCCCCCAATGTTTGGTCACTGCACAATCTTAATAGAAGTCTTGGACATCAATGATAATGCTCCGGAGTTGGTAATAACGTCACTAGCGCTCGCTGTGCGAGAGGATGCTCCCTTGGGGACCGTCATCGCCCTAATCAGTGTAACTGACCCTGACTCCAGTGCCAACGGACAGGTGACCTGCACCCTGACTTCCTATGTCCCCTTCAAACTGGTGTCCACCTTCAAGAATTACTATTCGTTGGTGCTGGACAGCACCCTGGACCGCGAGAGTATATCCCACTACGAGTTGGTGGTGACAGCGCGGGACGGGGGCTCTCCTTCTCTATGGGCCACAGCCAGCGTGTCCGTGGAGGTGGCCGACGTGAACGACAACGCGCCGGCGTTCCCACAGCCCGAGTACACGGTGTTCGTGAAGGAGAA